AACATGGAAGGATCCAAACAATAAACCGAGACAATCTGCACAGAACGGTAATATGTATCGATATATGGGTCATGAAATATGGTAAAAATGGAAAAGATAAAGTCAATAAATACAGGTATATACGCTATGGAGAAACTGAATCATTTATTAGACTGAAATCAGGAATTGTTTTTATATGGCCAATATGAGTGAGTCCTTGTGTCAACGTACACACTACTAACTAAAAAATGTATAATACACCGTCTAAATATATGCATAAGGAACTGAATACTGCATGGACGTAGGATACACTGCACAACTAAATCTAAATTCAGGAAACCAGAACTGAATTTGATCATGTAAAACAGATGTAAACAATTAGCAATAAAAATTCAGGAGTGCAAGCTGAGGAGCATATCTATCTTGCAGCCTTTGCCCTTACAATGGGGTGCACAAACATAATATGCAACTATTAAGTTGGGTGTGCAACCCAAAAAGCGAAACATGAATAAGTTTACATTTTTATGCTTACACGTACAGGAAATGCAATCAAAGTCAGAACACAAATCCAACCAGGAGTTAAATAAACTCACATAGAAGAAAACGCATTAGAGCTGACAAATCCAAGTATCGGAGGTAATTAATCCACAGCGCTGATTGTGTTTTTTCAGCTAGAGATTTCTGAACGTTTCAGGTTGTCGTCATCAGCACAAGATCTGTGGGACTTGCAGATTCATGAGGAATCCCCTGTTATTGGTACAATTAATCTGTTGTCTGCTGAAATGCAAGTGCACGACCAAATTTATAAGTGAACAAAACTATACAAAGACATTTGAGGTCCAAATCTGAAGGAGACATATATGTTATTTTTCAAATAATTATGAAGGGAACATGAAAGTATAGTTTAGTATGTATATATTTTATAACCATGTACGAAACTGAACCAGAGGAAGTCATGTAAGAAACAATCTGCCAAAATTTAGAGGTAGCTAAATGCTGCAGCCAATCGTGAATCAACCGCCGCCACTGCGCGCAAAAATTAAATCCTACCGGAGGTGGAAGAACTGGGCGAACTGGTCCCTAGAGATGAGAATCGTTCTTGTCCCAACCTATGAACTAACCAAGCGCTAATCCAGCAAACGTAAAAAAAAAAAAAATACAGGGATTCACATGAGCAAGAGGGTTATGAACAGGCGGCTCACCATGGACGCGATGTACTACTCGAACGATTCCCGGCACCTGTGGTACAGCTGCTGCGAGTAGTCGCGCGGCGGCCTCTGCGTGCACATGCTGTATATCTTCCTGCGACAAGATGTTGAGAACCGTCGGTTGCGAATCTGGATTTTAACTTTAGGTATGCCGCTAAAAAAAATTCATATACAATTTGGTAAATTTATTTTAGCAATTCAGTAACAATTATAAATTTTACAACGTGATTTGGTATACATGCACTAAGTAACATGATAAGACTTAAATTTAAGGATTAAGTTGAAACCATCTACTAAATACAATATAGACATAAAAGAGTACCAGAGGCTTACAATGCTATTTTTTCAGACTGTTTTATTCGACACTTTCCAAGGAATATGAATATCTTACTATATCTTCTTCATCAACCAGATCAACCACCGGTCTTCCACCACTGGTTCAACCTGATCGGGTGGAGGATTAGAAGGTTCAACTGGCTATGAATATTACCATATAGCTATGAATGTAGAAAATAATTTTCTAAAAAACATGAAGAGCAAAGATCAAAATTTACCTAACCAAAATAGCGAATCAAGACGATAAGTCTTGACTTGAAAAATACTGTTCGTGATTGTTGTTCTGCGGCAGACGTGAACAGTGTGAGAGGAAAAAATTAGGACCCAGCAGGGCATCCTCCGCGCGCAACCCGATATTCTTGAGCATGGCGGGAATTAGCGGCGATCCTCCGATCCAAAGATTTGGCATGGCGGAGGGCGGCGAGGCACCGGGGCCGCGGGCGGCAAGGCGCCACAGACTCACATGTCAGCGGCGGCGCGACATGTTCCTCCGTGGCTCCCGTCGATCGAGATTAGATTAGGAAATTGAAGGGTCGATCACGGGAGCGCATATCTTTGGACGTTTGGATGTTGGAGAATTGGAGTTCCCTTGCCACATGGGCCGCGTCAGTGCATCATATGGGACTCCCGTCATCACGTGATGGTGTCCGTGTATGTTTTTTTTTTTTTTCTTTTTAACAAATACAACGTATATACAATATAATAATATATATACTACTACCGGCCAGGTTTGCAGGGTATGCTGGTGCATACCCGGCATACCCTGTGGCTACGCCACTGAGAACTGTAGATCAGAGTCGGATCGATGCGGGAAACCCTAGCGCCGCCGCGAAGAAGACGGCGGAGGTGGCGGCGGCGGCGACGAGGACGCCAGCACCGTGCGCGTCAAGCACCGCAAGGAGTGAGATCCAGGAGGGAGAGGGCGCGGAGGGGGAGATGCGGCGGTGGGGCGACGTGTCGCCACCGTCGGCGCGGAGCACTGTGAGGGTCACCGCCGCCGCCACAGGTCCGGCCGCTGCACGCGCCGAGGGCGCTACCGCAGCCACAAGCCCCGCCGGCTGACGCACCGAGGACGCCGCTGGCGTGTGCGTCGACCACCACGAGGGCCGCGAGCCTCTGTGAGGAGAGAGATCCGGGATGGAGAGGGCACGAAGGAGACGATGCAGTGGTGGAGCGCGCGGAGGAGACGTCGAGGGAGTGGGGGAGTCGCGTGGGGTGGGAGGCGGCGTTGGACGCGGGGGGGGGGGGAGGCAAAAAAAAATTCGCACGGACGGGGAGAGCGACGACGCGAAATTTTATCGCAAGGGGCAAGGGCGAACCGATGTAGCGACGATTGTCGCACGAAACTCCTTTTTTTAGTTGTAGGAGATTGACGAAGCACGTTATGGAGGGTAAATAGAAAGTGAAGCAGAAAGGAAAAACCCACAATTTTTCCTATCCCCATCAATGTTACCTCAGTTATTCATTATTTTCCTGGAAGCACCCTATGAAAGTATGGTTGGGTCCAGGTGGTTAAGCACTAGCCATTTATTCAATTAAAAGATGGCGTATGGTTAATTTGTTGCATATCAGTTTCACTAAAGTAGATGGCTACAAAATTTTCAATGCATGCCACTTATCATTACCTATTAATTCCCTTATCGCACTAACATTACTTTTTCCTTGCGTGCTTGACCTGCGAGGCTAACTCCTAATGTGCAAAACTAGCTTCTTATTGAATTCTAGTGCGAATTATTTTTTAATAAAGGAACAAGAAAAGAAAGAAAGGCAGCCCACTCACTTTTTTCTCTTAACTTGTCTTCTCCATGCAAATTATAGACCCTGATAAATTGATAATTGTTTCATAGTACGATTTTATGAAAGGGCATATAAGCCAGTGATCCAATGTTCACATGGTGCTTTCCACGAAAGAAACAGGCGGACTTTCCTTTCTGCTGCTGTTTTCGGTGTGTTTCAAATTTTTTCTTATGGACTAGATTTGGTGTGCCTAGATCAAAATAATTGTGCCTCTATTTTGAATATAAGGTTTGATGTGCACTTCTCTGGGTAACCCTTGAACACTTTGATGGACAGTTTATAGGTTTGGCTACACAAAAACTAAGACGTTGTGTATTTATAGTGCCAAACACAGTAATTACCTCATTATTGTTACTAATACACTGTACTTCTGTTACTGTCATTGTCATTGAAAACCTTGGAAATGCAAGAATGTATTTTTCCCAGATTTCATAAACCATATATGCTTATTCATTGATTTCATTGAAATCAAGGCTTGAGTTGAATCATTAATGGTTTTTACCTGATTGCAGAGAGAATATTTTTATAACTTGCACTTGTATTTAGAAGTCTAGTGCTTGTATAGTGATTTGACACTTACTTTGACCAAATTGTACCATGATTCCCATCTACTTGAATCCTCTCCTTGAGGTTATATTTTGTTATTTTGACTTCCATTCTTAATGGAAAATTTCTACTTTCTCTGTTACTATAAAAAAAAGGTAGACCCAGTGCCAGATGCTCCCACATGAGTGGGGTCTGGGGAAGGGAAAAACCGAGGCAAGCCTTTCCCCCGCAAAATCTGTGGAGAGGCTGCTTCAAACCCACGACCTGGTGACTCAGTGAGACAGCTCTCACCACTGCACTAGGTCTGCCCTTCTCTCTGTTACTATGTACTCTGGAATCAATTTCATCTGGGGGAACAAAATGAAAAGATGATTATAAGCAAGATGATTGGGATTTTACAGAAACTCATCTGAACTTAGGTTTTAGGCTGAGGAAAAAGTTGGAGCTAGTCCTTTGGCAGCAGCTTTTTTTGCTTGATCAGACTATGGTACCTTTTCACCTTGAGACTTGGTGGCTCCTGAGAGCTGTCTTCTCTTTCCTAATACCATGACTTGCAAGTTGCCAAGTTGGTACAATGGAATAATACATCTTTTTTATAAAGGTAGGCAACTCTATCAGATCACTAATTTGGTATGTCAATTGGCTTCTTTTGGTTTAGTAGTTTTTGCTTGAGGCCATCAACCAGCCGATCCACTTGTACAAAACAACCTTCACTGGTTTTTATGGACGGGTTAAAAGTGAACTATATTTTCAACTGGGTGAGCTTAATGTTCACCTTAACAGTTGTTTCTTTGGACTGAAACTGTAAAATCATTCCAAGTTAAGACCATCTATATCAATTAACATTTATTCTTGGCTTCATGTCCAACAGAAAAGTCTCACAGGATAGCTAATTATACTGTGAGTAAACAGTACATAGTACCTTTGCCCTTGTATTCCATAGCATCAAGGACAAATTGAGATGATCTTGTCTTGCACACTAGATAGATACTATAGAAATCATGCATAGAGCCATAGACCTGTAATTCTAAGCGGAGATAAATATTCAGATCCATGCTAAAGCTTGTTTCTACAAAAGCACTTCACTTCTGCTAGGTAGGTGTATAACTTAGTAATCTGACCCAATATATGGCATCAGAAGCAGGGGCCAACTCCTTCACTATAACTGAACTGTGGTGCCATCTTGATCTCATCATCAATCTTCCAGCACGCCTCTGGGTAGTATTCCCAGACAGTAGGTGGTGGCAGAGGTGTGGCAAGGCTGCTGCACACATTCTCGTTCCCTCCAACAAAGCCCACCTCCGAGGGCACCTCTGGCGCCTCAATTTCCATCCATATCTGGTCCATGGGATAGCCATCCATGTCCGGAGGGGTGCCCTTCAGGATGCTTGTGATGCAGCCACTGCCACCATGAAGCTCCTGTCCCTCAACTCCAATGGTTGATGGAGTATCTGGGTAGCCTGACTGGTAAGTCAGCGAAGATGAGGACGATGACGGAGACATGTTCCTCTTCCTCTCCTGTGCTTTCTTCCTCATGTGTGTCCTCCAGTAGTTCTTGATCTCATTGTCAGTGCGCCCTGGCAAGCGGCGTGCTATCCTGGACCACCTGTTTAGGGGAAGTTATCGAACATGTCAATCAAATATTAGAGAAAACTGTCCTCTTGTTCTTTTGATTATCTTTTGGTGATCAGACCTGTTTCCCCACCGAGCGTGCAGCTCAAGGATGAGGCGCTCTTCATGGGGAGACATGCGCCCACGCTTGAGGCCAGGATGGAGGTAGTTGACCCAGCGCAGCCGGCAGCTCTTGCCTGTCCGGTTGAGTCCTGCATGAAGATACAGAAGGGGAGAGGGGAAGCAAGGATAGAGTCGGTTAGAGAGGTTGATACATGCTTTTGCGACTTAGCGCGATGACTTCAATTTAGCTACCTAATTTGTGGATCCCCACCCCTCAAACCTGATACTTCGGCAATGAAATCCCAACGACGTTCACCGAACAGACGGACTGTGCATACCAGTTGCAGGTCCTCCTGTTCTGTCCATGGCCCCTTGCGAGTCTCCTCTCTCACTGTCACCATATCGACCCTGCGATATGATGAAACTGCCCTAACGCTGCTCACTCCTACCTTGTATCGGCTGAGAGCCGGTCTTCTTGCTCTTCTTTCTCTGTGTGCTTGTTGGCTCCAGTTTCAGGATTATCTTGATGAAATCCAGTCTGTTTGGAAGGAAGAGGAGATGAAGAAGAAGAAGAAGAAGAAGAAGCTAGTAGAGAAGAGTACGCCACTTTGTCTTAGTTGCCTACTGGTTTGGTGGCTTTTGCCTCTCATTTATAGGTAAGAGAGGGGGAGGTCTTGGTGGCCAGGTGATGTGGTGGGTGTGATTTGGAGCTCCCTAAAGATCCTATATTCCACCATTGGGTTGCCCTCAGATTCTAACTGATAAAGTTGCTTTTTAATTGGCTCATGCTGCGCATATTGTATTGCAAATTCATAGGTGTGCATGTTAGGACATCAGCTTTATTGACGTCTGGAATTTGCAGAGGTATTTTCTTGCTTTTTTTGTTAATAAACTACAGTACACCATAAAAGTTAATTTTGTTTACCATTGATGTATTTTGAAATTATTGTCCCCATATGTGTTATTCATAAATCTACCTGAAACTTAGCTTTGAGTTTCTTCATAAATCTTTGCTATGGTGAAGTCATTCTTGTCGAAGCTTTTCTGCATGTTAAAAGGCTACTACCTCTGTTCCAAATTATACTTAATTGTACTTCACTTTAGTTTTGCCCTGAATTAAACCTCTCTAACTTTGGCAAAAATTTTACAAAAACATATTAACATGTACAAGTTGAAATAAAGGCACTATCAAACATATTTTATGATGAATTTAATGAACTAATTTGATATTGTAGATGTTGATGTAGGGAAGTTTTGAGTTAGGACAAAGCTAAAATGAACAATATTTTGGACGGAGGAGTACATAGTGTACTACTAACTCCATAGTTTTACTGGCTAGTTTTAATCCAGTTACTACTAACACTGGACTGGACCAGTATACAGTTAAAGAGCACTGACCGTGTAGTTGAGAGTATTTTTTTTGGTTTCATCAGACGGAGACATTTTTTTTTCTGCCCAAGCAAATACGGCAGAATTTTCTACTTTTGATATACTAGCGTTACAATAATATGATGCTTTCTGAAGGTATATGCTTGTTCCTTCTTTTATTTTCTTTCTTTCCGCTTTGATGTGATTTTTTTTCTTCTTCACAAAAGAAAAGTGGCTGTGCTTATCAACTTTTTGGTGTTTTGATTGTTGAACCACTGCTTATTTCTACTTTTGATATACTAGCGTTACAATAATACGATGCTTTCTGAAGGTATATGCTTGTTCCTTCTTTTATTTTCTTTCTTTCCGCGTTGATGTGATTTTTTTTTCTTCTTCACAAAAGAAAAGTGGCTGTGCTTATCAACTTTTTGGTGTTTTGATTGTTGAACCACTATGATTATTTCTACTTATCAATCAGACACATTGTACAGCTATTACTATTATGAAAGCAGATAGATACATAAAGCGCTTCAGATGCTATACATTCACTCTGTTTTTACCAGCATGAAGTTGCCGCTTGGCTGTCATCATGTATCTTGAGTTCTCTTGCTGTCCAATTGGAAGATACTTGCTCATATATCAGAATTCCCTGTTTTTCCCCGTGTTATTATACATGAAACATACTATGTGAACAAGTTGGTTTACTAAGGCAAACGTGTACCTAACATATTTACTTTCACTGGGCAGAACATTGGAACTCAGTAATGCATAATAATCGCCTGATAGGTGTTGATTGCAACTCCATAAACTTGTGTTTTTTGAAATTTTGAATACGATGATCAGTGCTGTATTTACAATGAAATTTCACTTTTTTGGTCCTTAATGCAGCTAGTGTATCATAGAAGTTCAGCAGGCTGATTATACTATTGAAAAATGGGGCATCTTGGCAAAGTCACCATCTGGTTTCTTCCACAATTTTTTTTCTTCTTCCTGCTATCCTGATTCCTGACGTGAAAAGCACTAGCCTTTCTGCCACCCATTATCACTGGCACAGAGGACTCCATCCCCCCTTTTGTGTCAGCCATTATCAGAGGCACAGGAAAAGGATCTTACTAGTTTACTGCGCGCACACAGCAGCACAAGCTGGTCCTGGAAAGGGGCGACCCTCGCTCGTCTCTCTAGAGCTGCTCGAGCCAGCAGCTGCCTGAGAGCAATCTTTTTCTTTTTCCTGTGAACCTGCGTGCAGGCCAGGCCAGGCCTCCTCAGCTGACCTTAGTTTTGTACAATGGCTCATCATTGTTGCTCTGTTCGTACAGGTGAAACGACGAGCGGGCAGCGTCCAAAGCATCATCTCATGGATCGTCTTTTTTGGACGTCCGTTCGGTGGTGTCAGGTCCATTGGTCAAGCTGAGCACAAGATGTCCTCCATTAGCTCTAACTGGTGAATCATCTCTAGATTATGGTTTCTTGATTAAGAAACGTTTTGACTCTTGGTGTTGGTGGCACGCGTGTTACGACGCTGCTGAGTGCTGACACGCCGCTACTTTTTCCGGCCCAGCCCTAGTAGTAGTTTGATTTGATCCGCTGACAATCCCTCCCAGGGATCATATCATCTCTCTGTTTCAGTGAGCAGTGACTGGTGATGAGTAGGTTTGATTTGATACGCTGACAATCCCTCCCAGGGATCATATCACCTCTCTGTTTCAGTGAGCAGTGACTGGTGATGAGTGGGGGGAGGGCCTCCATAAGAAATCGCCTCGTCTGGGACCTAACTTCTCCATTATACTGTGCTGTGCACCTGTTTGTTTTCCTTTTCCTTGTTCTGAAAAGGGCCTTTTTCCCAGCAGGACAACTGATATGATGATTATAATCCTGGCGCGTGTGTGTGTGACTGTGAGGCTCAGCTGAATTCGAAGATGAAGAGGAGACCACCACCGAGCTCAAGTAGCTGCGATCTGTGCTGTGCTGTGGTGTCCTGGCATGGGCATGGGGTATGGGTATGGCCTCCTCTCGTCGCACCACTTTTTTTTTTTTTTTTTTTGTCTCGGCTTGGCTGCTCCCGTCCCACTACAAAGAAGCCCTTTATTTCGCTCGCATCGTTTGTGCTTGTTGTTTTGCTGCGCCCGGCCGCGGGTGGTCTCCCACCTGCGGCGGCCTGGCCTGCCCGGCTGCGGCTTTGTCTGTCTGTGTGGGGGGTACTGGGCCGAGGGCCCGGGGGGCGGGGCGCCCCCTGCTTCTTCTCTTCCTCTCCCTGGCATTGGCAGCGGCAGCACCGCACCACCGTCAGGGGTTGGTCGGCTCGCTCATCATCGGCGTGACGACGGCGGCGGAGTTGGTCCGTCTGGACCGTCCCTCTTCGATCTCGAGTGCCTCGTTGAAACCCAGCTGGCCGTGCTGCCTCGTCGTCGTGCAGCTGCATGCAGCCGCAACAGCATCGCTTTGCTGACCCGCGCGCCTGCCGCCGGCTCTTGCTTGACCTGGCTATAGCTAGCTAGCTGCCTGTGCGCCCTGCACTACACCATACAGGAACCCCCGATGTGCAAGCGCAACGAGCCACCGAGCTAATTCCATTGAATTGTATTTTTATTGATCAATTAGAATTGCCTTCTAGAACGTATAGCCTCGTCAGTGAGCGGCACGTACGCCGCCGTGCTGTTTGTGTTTGGGCGGACACGTTTTTACCGCGCCCGCCTTGGCCACCCATGTGCACTGTACAAAGAAAGGGAGAGATCGATCGCTGGGCCGGCCGGGCGCCTGGGCCTGGCTGGGCACACAGCGTCGGAGTTAGTCAACTGTTCATCTTCTTGCTCCCTTTATCTGACACCGACTGTGCGCCCCCCTGCTGATCGCTTGCTTTGCTTTAGTTCGCCATGATTTTTTCTCTGCTGCCCTGAGACGACTCTCTGAGTGAGCTGTGAGCGACTGCTCGAGGCCACAGGGGTCAGTGCGGCCATCAGTGCGCCCGCAGACCCCAGGCCGGCCTCTTTCCCTCGATCGCAGACCTTGCTCGCCACTTGCTTCTTTTTTGTTTAATGCTTGCGTGTGTGATCTTACTGATCCATGACCCGTCGATGATCCCATCCAGAGTAATGCATGTATGTACAATCGTCGTATATAAATTAAACACTGTCGCTGACCAGTGATGAAAGACCCTAATTAGCAGGCGTATGTAATGTGGTACAGTCGTGTCGCACCAAACGCCTATGCATGTATTTCTCGTTCCAGTCGTTTGATGTACTATGAATCGGAGAATTCCTTGTGCGCGTGCGTGCCCCTGTTCTTCTTTTGACGAAAATGTCTCCTTTTTAGATTTTTTGTTGACACTAACTAAAGCTAGTGACCTACGTACGTACGTGATCGATGTTCTCGAAAAAGTTATTCGGACGGCACTAAAGCTTTGCGCTTGTTACTATTCTGCTTTACTATAGCTACTTCCCTTTATTTTATTCCTTGTGTGTAGTCTAACATATAGTAGTGGCTGCAATTCAAGGGCTGGGCTCGTATCGCACGCACTAGCTAGCTACTTGTGTATGTTCACAGTCAGGGCAACGACGACATAGGAATTACGTCTGGAGCATGCATATTTGTTTGCTTAGCTATGGGCTTGTCGACGCAGCTGTAGTTTCCATCAGCTCATCAGTTGTGACACTTCCTTGGCAGCTGGATTCTCTCTCGCTCACACGTAGGAGTACGTAGCTTACAATAAGGGCAGCGTACGTGTCGATTAATTCTGTACATAAAACTCCTATCTTCTACTCCTAATGAATGGCAGAGCTCCTGCCCTTACATTCAAAAAAAAAAAAAAATCTGCGTCCAAGGCCTTGGACATGCATGTGGATTCGATAAAATGTGTTCGACCACTGGTCCATCGTCATGCATGTGGGCAACAAAAAAGAAAACAAATTTTGTATATACAATCGTGTAATAAAAGGTAATAATAATAAGGGTATGGTTAGTTTGGATTGGACTCCATGTAAAAAGCGGTTAACTTTGACACCGAAATATAAACGTGCGTGACTCCATGCTGACCTGA